TGCGAAATTTGTTCAAATACTTTTAAATTTTTGCCCTGAAGCTGTAGATAAGTTAATAAAAAATACGTGCGTTTTATGCACATTCCATAAAAAAGTAAAAACTCAAGTAGCAAATAAATTCGCTAAACAATCTCCAGTATTCACTTTAATTATTTTCACAAAGTCCCTTGGGAGAGCCCGGAAAGAAGTCGAAGTGTAAACAGTAAAATTCCTCAATCCTTGCGAAGAATTATTATTAAGTCTTGCAAGACTAAGACCAAATCCGAGACCATGCAGTCTTTGTCTGCTCATCACTATCTTCAAGGTTTGAGGCCCCCCTCTTTTAAATTTATGAATTAATTGAACAACAAACAAGCCTTTAAAGTGATAAAACTAATTTAACTGATACCAGAGGAGACAGGAAGTTGAAGAGGAAGTGAAAAACCGCTCATTTGCGATAAAGTCTATCACTTACTGAAATATTTAGCACACATTAAAACCTCATGTTTCAATTCAATTTAGAGCTATAACAACGGACTTTTCGCAATTTTGACTACTCAAAGCATAAAACTTATACGGTTTACTTAAAGGGGCATGCGTTTATATATTATACGGCAACTTTATGCACTGTTTACCCATTTTAATGCTTATTGCCAGTCATAAAACTGGGCCCCAAGCTCTAATGCGGCAATTACTTAAATTAGTTTATGGATATGAACAGCGGACAAGTCACTATGTGCTTAATTTTAGGTGAATTAACTAAGCCAAACACTTACACTTTAAAGGGCTTGTTTTCTTCCTGAGGGTTTGCATGGTGGCTGTCAGTTTGGTCTTTGGAGGCAAAAAGTGCTTCCACACTCAGAGCTTGTACTTTTGATAGCTCACTCCAAAGCTGTAGTCAATGTCCTGTTCCAGTTTCTTCCAGATGGACATCGCTTTTTAAAGTTGCGTTTCCCTTATTGATTCGAACGGCCCTTGATCTACCATAAGGTTTGGGGTGGATAAAGTGACTACTGTGGGGGATGATACACTGCACATGCCCATTGCCGTCCGGTTAAATTATTGATTGAAAACGTTGCAGTCTCATTGGATTAGGCCGCCGTGTAGTGCATTAAAACACTAATTGAGAATGTTGACTTGGTAATTTGCAAGATATTTTTGGGATGCAATCCCCCTTTCAGTGGAACTTGGCCTTTACCAGCTGACAACACTTAACCACTGATTGTGTATGGAAAACACTCACACAAAGCCATTAGAGCGCCTCGTAAGCCGTTTACAATGAATGAGAATGCTTAATAATTTAAAAATAGCCAAACAGCATCAACAAAGCGTTGATAGGCATCACTCAATGTCAGCTATGTTATAAACAAAGATTGTCATTTTTCCAAAACCGCTGTTGCCAAATGAAAACCAGCTCCAATAGGTCACTAAACTCTGGCTCTGATTGCTCTCATCTCACTAAATCCAAATGCTGGAGCGAGATAGATATGCAGCCTCTGCAGAAAATTGCCAGGTAAAAGTGTCAGCAGTCAGCGTCATTTTTGGCAAGACTTGCACCTAACCACACATAACTTATGCGGCTGATTTGTGTTCAGTGTAAAACTTTTGGAAAATGACCAACCAAGTTCATTGCCAGCTGTGGATGGGAAGCGTGAGTATTGAGTGCGATAGTTGGCCAGACATGTAATCAAACAGTGGTTGTAGTTGGAATCTTACATGACCGAAAGTTTCATTCTCAATGCATTTCGGAAAATGGGCGAAACGCCTTTGAGCGTAAAAGTGATGAGAAACAAATTCACTGGAGAACCGGCCGGTTATTGTTTCGTGCATTTTGCAAACGACGACGACGCTATTGATGCCATGCATAAGTTGAACTCAAAACCAATACCGGGAACGAACCCAGTGGTACGTTTCAGGCTAAATAACGCGAGCAACAATACAAGCCGCCAGTTTATTGACAGGGAGTTTTCCGTTTGGGTTGGCGATTTGAGCCCCGATGTGGATGACTATAACCTATATAGGGTGTTTTCGTCCAAATACAACACCATTAAAACCGCCAAAGGTGGGTGTTGCGATTGCGGCTTATCGCCCTTTGATAATGAAACCAAAAAGCTCATTTGCAGTTATCTTGGACAACAGCGGCTTTAGCAAAGGTTATGGATTTGTCAGATTTGGCAGCGAAGACGAGATGAGAGACAGTCTAATCACGATGAATGGCTACATCGGTTTGGGGACAAAAGCACTGAAAATAAGTAATGCTGTTCCGAAGCCTAAAGGGCCGGGAGACACTCCTACGGGCGGGTCTCAATCAAATGGGGCCGATAATGGTAGTGCATACAACCAGTATTACGATCCGTCATCGTATTGGCAAAATTACGCCGCTAATTGGCAGGCAAGTTCCTATTCAAAAGCCTCTATTCTCTAATATTTATGATTTTGTTAGGGTTTTTATTTTAATTATC